TTCACACAAAGTACTCTGTAAATCTGTTGTATTACATAAATTCTTAGTACGACCAGAATTCTAACACAATCATGCCGAGCTGGGATCTGGTGTGTAACGTGGAGGCGATGCCACTTTGAAAGAATATTTTGAAGACTGTACTTGATGTAATGCTAAAGCATAAAACTAATTATTAACGCTCCAAGACATGTGGACTGATGTACTGTTATTTACCTTCATTGGTTTAGTCTATTTAACGACCCTACTTCGGAGCATACTGTAAGCAAACTAATGTTGTAATTTGTAAATCATACCTGTAAAAATGGCGCGTACCCGCTCTAGAGGAAATATGATATTATTACCTTTGCGTCTATTCTAAGTTATGAGCACCATCTATTAAAAGTATTTCTGACGATAAGACGAATGTTAGTCTTACTCCACATACATATATCTCTAAATGAAGTCATCCAGGGTATGATTTGAACTACGACACCTAGACCTAAACATTAAGCAGCGATCAGGCTTTATCATTCAGTTAGCTACACTACGTGTATCACTGGGACGACAATAACGGTTCGTGATGACTCTCTCATAGTCATAAACTTCAAGGACAACCCTGACCTTTCTCTCAGGTTGCAGGACAAAAATGATAGGATGCTTTGGGGAGAATTGAACAAGAAACTTGAACTTCCAAGAATAGAGCCTTTGACAGTCACACGGCTCACTCAGGGAAAGGAATCTAAGCATCAAAATCACCCGAGGTTACTTCGTGTAACACTCAAAAATGCTACCGACGTAGAGGATGTCTTACTAGCGAGTCATTTACTGAAATCAGATGAGAATGTAAGAATACTGCCTGACATACCGTATTCTGAGCGCAATCTCATCCGGAATATCCCCAAACAATCTCGCGATCAGTTTTTCCGCGGGAGGAATATAATCGTGCAAGGTATACCGGAAAATACGGACCCTATTCAATCAAAAGCTGACATCCGGGAATGGAAATTCGTCAAACAGTCCTTGAGGCTCAAACACATGGTGACTCAGCATGTGATAAGACTAACCAAGAAGGATGGTGATCCTAGACCCCGTCTAATGAAGATAACCTTCCCATCTTCCCATATGGCGGCTGCAACTCTGGAAGCATTTCGTGCCAACAGACGTCGACTGCCACCTGGAATCCACATGCACCCGGATAGGCCATACGAAGTTAGGACCAAACACAAAGGCAAGATGGAGATGACCATCCCACTTGTGGACTGTCTAGAGGATAAAAAACGTGTAAAGGACAGGATCTACCTTGTCGGCAAACCTCATATAGGTAGGCTACCTGTCCATTCACGTAAGGCTCATACAGACAAACAGGACGAAGCTCACGCGTTCCATATTGAAAGCATAAACTGCTTATATATGAACGTCGCGAGTCTACCAAACAAATTGGATGTATTACGTGAACTTAGCAACGCCCATCTCACAGGAATATCTGAAACCTGGATATCTTAGTTCTCGGACCATGAGTTAGCATTACCTGGGATGTCTTTGTTCCGTAACGACAGAAAATCAGGAATTGGGGGTGGAGTTGCCGTTTACATACGTTCTTGATTGGAGGTGCACCAAGTTCATAACCTCGAGTTTAAAAATCTTGAGGAATCAATATGGTGCTCTGTAAGATTGTCTAGTACTTCGAGGTGTCTAATCGGAGTCATTTACAGGAAGCCAACTGCCGACATCGAGTACGATAGTCATATGCTTGAAGGACTATCCCGCTCTACTCCTCTCGGTTTCACACACATCCAGATTCTAGGGGACTTTAATCTCCCTAGATTCAACTTCGCGGAACATACGTACACTGGAAGCGACAACTCAATTGAAGGTCGGTTCTTCAACCTCATCGATGACTTAGGATTATACGAAGATGTGAGGTCGGCACTTCGTCGGAGAAACAGTCAGACATCATCGCGCTTAGACTGTGTATTCACAAATGAAGAATTCCTAGTTGACAACCTCTCAATCCTGGCTCCTCTAGGAAAAAGCGATCATGCCGTCATAGCCTTCAGTTTTGTCATCAAAACTAAGCTAAGCTATCCCAACAATAACTTGCGTTGGAATTTTAAACGGTTGAATGTGTCAGCTCTACACGACTATCTACAACAGGTGGTTTGGAATGTTCACCCTCAACTCGATGTGGACGGTCATTGGGACTTCTTACTGCACACGCTCTTATATGCTACAAACCATTCAGTTCCTCAAACGGTCCGCAAAAGCTGCAAGCTACCTACAATAATCAAGAATCGTAACCTTCGCCTGCTAAGCCGCAAAAGGCACTGTTGGGCGGAATACAAACGAACTGAAAACGACGGAGCGTACAGGCAATGTAGACATGTAAGAAACATATGCACGAAGGCTATAAGAGATGACAGGCTTCAGTACCAGACAAAGCTTATGGGCAAATTTGCCTCTAATCCTAAAAGCTTATTCCGTTATGCAGCCTCTCGTCGTCAAGCCAAAACTCGAGTTTCCCAACTGCTAGGTCACAACAGCCCGACCAACAACGATAGCGACGCCGCTAACCTTGTGGCTGAACATTACTCCCAGACATTTCAATCGACCGACATCAACTTTATTGATGACAGTTTCATCTGCAATTCTACAGGACTTTCCGAAGTGAACCTAAGCGCTGACTTGGTGTTCCGGAAACTGCAGCACTTAAGACTAAACACTTCTCCTGGCCCGGACACGGTCCACTCCGCCATAATGAGGGAAGCAGCCTCAATCCTGGCAACGCTGCTTAGCATGATATTCTCACACTCGCTAAGTCGAGGAAAACTACCGGAAAATTGGAAGTTGGCTCACACCACACCAATTTTCAAAGGAGGTCGACGCAGCAAACTTTCAAGTTACCGACCGGTGGCTCTTCTCTCGGTAACTTCAAAAATCATGGATTCCCTGATGTGCGGTGGTATACATGACTATTTACTGTCCTTAAATTTCTTCTCACCCCAACAGTATGGTTTCAAAAAGGGTTACTCTTGTATAATCAACCTGCTGACTGAGGTGGACAGATGGACAAGCATCGCAAGGGAAGGATTGACATAATCTACCTAGATTTCTCAGAAGCTTTTGATAAGGTTAACCATGTATGTCTTATCAATAAGCTCAAACGATTGGGTATCAGGCCACCTCTAATCGATTGGCTCACTTCATACCTGAAAAATCGACATTTTAAGGTCAGGGTTAATTTCTCTTTATCTCAGGCTATGGAATGTCCTAGTAGGATCCCCCAGGGCTCAGTACTAGGACCTCTTCTCTTCTTGATCTACATAAATGATCTTCCTCAATAAGTAGCGTCAGACTTATTACTTTTTGCCGACGACGTGAAACTTTGGAGAGAGATACACAAACAAGACGATATACAGGCACTTTCAGGAGGATCTGACTCGACTTCAAAGTTGGGCGGACGATAGCGGACTTACCTTTAACACTTCAAAGTGTAAAGTAGTCCATCTGCGACATGTCGCAGACTACAGTTATAACTTAGGAAACTCCTCTCTAGTAGTATCCGAAGTCGAAAAAGATTTAGGACTCCTGGTGTCCCATGATTTAAAGTGACAAAAATGCCTTCAGAGCAAACCTTGCACTGGTAACGTTGAAGCGCATTTTTGGCCAGTTTGACGGAAGAACTTTCCATATAATCTTCAATAGCTTTATCCGTCCCCATTCGGAGTACGGAAACATAGTATTTCCCCCCTCACTCCAAAAGGATAAGGACACCCTGAAGCGTATCCAACGACGAGCCACGAAATCAGTTCCAGGACTAAAATTTAAACCTTATGAAGAGCGCCTCCATTCACTTAACCTTTACCCATTAAAGTATAGACGTCTTCGAGGTGACCTTCTGATGGCTTACAGTATCCTTAACACTTCTGGACATCCTCTCAAACACCTACTTAAGCTTAGTTCCAACACTAACCTTAGAGGTAACACCCAAAAACTGGAGACACAACATAGCAGAACGGACTGTAGACACAACTTCTACTCCTTAAGAGTTGCCAAATGCTGGAATTCGCTGCCGTCCGAGCCAGTCCAAGCGACTTCCCAGGAGTCCTTTAAGAGGCAACTTGATCTATTCTCAAGGACTAAGGATAGTATTACACTATGATTTACTTATTTCTTTTCCTCTTTTATTGTTAACATACCTAGGTTCCTGCCTGGAGGATTTGTTGGTCCCCTGATACTAGGCACGGAGGCCTGTTAAGCGAAAGCTTCTTCTATTCCGTCCACAACCATTTGAATCATTTGAACCATATGTCTCCAGTGAAGTCGGTTCCGAGTGTAAACACTGTAGATCACCAACGTAGATGATCTATGTCGAAATGATTGGAGGCCGACTCGAGTTAGACGTGAATAGTGTGACGAACCAACTAACGTCGAAGTCATACCTCGTGGTCAGCACCTTACGTGGACTACCCCCATTGACGTAACAAGGTACTATAGATGCTTTGAAGACTGTACAACACAAAGGACGTTATTACAGAAATATATTAGTTAAGGTAGATACAGGCGAAAGTAAGACCACTGCCGCATGGGCCAGTCCATGGCGTATGATTAACTAATGCGCGTTTGTTGTACCTGACCTTGGTAGGGAGCGATGATCTGTTCGACATTCAGTGATCCAACTGCCGGATGATTTGGCTAGGGCTCAGTGACATTTCACTGGCCCTACAACACTTTACGTTTCCCCAATCGGTTCTAATATAGAAAGAAATATTTACGTCCGTTATGAGCTGTGTTGCTGTAGCTGAGATTACCCCACTTTATAATCCCTCCGCTATGAAGCCTAGCCCGAACATTAGCTCAGTCTAAGCTTCAGGTGTTTCGGAGATATATTTCATTTGCAATGTCCATCTAAAAGATGGGGACTTTAATGAAAAACCAAATATGACAAGCTCTACCAACAAAAGATAAACATGTAGCTTAAGCTATTTTCTTCTTATAAAGTTCACTTGCTACACGAAACTTCCTTTGTTTTCATCAGATGGCTATTCAGTCGCAGTAGCGCGTTTTCAATTCTGCTCGTGATTCGGTCTGGTTGTTGTCAAGCATGTCTGGTGGTTATCCAGTTTTAGAACTCTCGGCAGAGGACCTGCGCCTAATGCTTGCAGCTCACGTTCATGTGGGGGAGACTAATATGAATTTCCAAATGTCAACATACGTCCATGGGTGTACTAAGGATAATTATCACATTATTAAGTTGGATAAAACATGGGAGAAAATCCTTCTATCAGCTCGTGCTATTGCAGCAATTGATCATCCGACTGATGTTTACGCAGTCGGGTCCAGGCCGTTTACTCAGCGTGCTGTATTAAAATTTGCGAACTACACAGGAACAACAGCAATGGCAGGCCGCTTCACACCTGGTACTTTCACCAACCAGAAACAAGTATGTTCCGTGCCTTCATAATATTCTTTAGTCTTGTTTCCGAGAGCCCCGCCTGTTAATTGTCAGTGATCCAATAAGTGATCACCAAGCTGTATACGAAGCTAATTCTGTAAATGTCCCGCTCATTGCATTCTGCAATACTGACACCCCTATTTCACGTGTTGATATCGTCATTCCATGTAATAACAAGGTAGTCTTCTAGTTTTCACGTAATTGCCTTTAGTCAACGCATTCTATTGCCGTTGTGTGGTGGCTTCTCGCTCGTGAAGTTCGGCGCATCCGCGGTGAAGATACAAGGTTGCATCAATGGAGTGTATTACCTGACCTGTTTCTCTATCGCGATCCCAACGAGGAAGAGCAAAATGCTGAGGAAGTTGATGATACTAGATTGGAACCCGCTTTGCCAGGTTAATTATGTTTTTCAGGATATGTGCTTTTATATTGTATAATAAGTAGTGGTAGGTCATATGATGTAGTAAGTGTAAAACTGTCGACTAAAACATTTCCATTTGTTTAGATTCAGATCTTCAAGCTTGAGTGAATCGAAAGCAATTGGTTCTCAAGTAACCAAACAACTAACACTGAGATTCATAAATTCGTGTCGATATCATAACATACCGGTCGGTATCATGTATTTAGATAATTGGCCAGCCACTGTAGACATACAGCACTTTTTAAGACGACTTAACTAATATTTATCTGTGGAATATGATTAAGTTTTGGATTCACGAGTCAGGAAAACTGTAGCCCTGTTTTGTGTCGAAATTGATGACCCTTAAATGCCCTGGTACGGCCGAGAGTGGGGAGAGTTCGCTATTCCTCTCGAAATGCTTTAACATGGTTACGCGTATATAGCCTCTGCCAGGGAAGTCCTGCTCACTTCCTTCTCGTGGTGATGTTGATTACGAAATTGAGAGGACGGAAAGCGAATGTCCGGTGCTCTAATCGGGTTGGTGGACATGAAGAGTCTACCTAGGGGAGTTGAAGAACCCTGATTTCAAACCAATGGTGCACATGGGTTCCAGTATCCTAAAGGAACAAATGGCGTATGAACCGGTCGTTGGTCACCGGCCACCATGGGACTGCATCACCTGACGTTGCTCCACCGCCTTATGGATCAGACCTTCAGGTCAAAGGCTCCGGGTGTGGCACCCTAAGAGAACCACCTGCTTCGGTTCGGGCACCCGGTCAGTATCACAGCCCTCACATATATCAAAGGAGATTTGTGTGACGCATATGTATTTGGTGCCTTCTCGTACTAATATTTATGTGTTAAAATAAAATGAATAGTACACCGACTCAATTTTAATTCTGATCTCGTTAGTGTCGTCATACGTAATCTTTATGGCTCCGAGCTGTTTGATTGTTTGCAACGTTTGAGTTTCAGTGAAACACTCAGTTGTTTGAAGCACGTAAGTGGATGAAAGTACAAGATGCTAACCAAAAGTTCTTAATAGTTTTGACAGCTACTGAATGGCAATGTGTCTTTCTTGGTAATGAACACTTAATCACAATTGATAGCCTAACACTTCATTTAATGAGCAAAAGCATCACAATGCTCTTGCGATTAACAAATGCCAGACTTTTATGCTGATTCTCAAATGTCTTCCTGAAGCTCAGTAGTATCTCTAGGTATCGCTAACCATGCTATAATGTTGTCGGGATAGAACTAGGCCAGTAACAGGAAGCTAGAAAGAAATCCAATCAAATAACAGCAACCTTAAATCATTATCCTACGTAGTCCCATTAGGTACTTTTCAACCGGACAACTTAAAGTTAAATCACACTCTTAGCTTTGTGTTCAAATAAAAATTCTCTTCAGAAATTTATTTATTCCGATATCGCTCATCTTAGACAACGTTCTAGTATGCGGAACTGTTTAAAGCCGCACGAGTAAAAAGATTATCTATAGGCAGATTATGATCTTCCAGGGTTTATTAGCTTTTCTCGTGTCACTGATAGATGCACCTCTAATCCTAGTTGACCACTTGAGTGTGTGTACTTCGTCTAGCATAGTAAGAGAACGAGAAATGGCATAATTTTTGGTACTCATATTTCATATTTTTGTTCTTATTGTAGTAATGCATAGTGTTACAAGTTTTCATCATACGCATGCCAGACACTAAACTGTTTGTCCAAGTCTCATTGTATAAGTCAGTTGGAGGTATGCGAGCAGTTGTTACTTCGTAGCTGCCCACACCGTGGAGGGATATTTCTCCCTGAATGACTTAAAAACGAAGCTGAATTAGTGATGGTGTTATTGATCTGGGGATGTGACTGCAAAGCCCAAAGGACAACTGCTTGAAGCCGGTCACGCACAACCTTTTCATGGAACGTTTTTTTAAGGCGTTAGCTCCGCACTTCAAAAGTCCTTACTTACGGAGAATGAAACCTGTCGGGTTAAGCTGAAATGTTACACTTTAAGGTTCAAGCTTCTCTAATCTCTTCCGATGTGAGAAGGGAGCATTATTGCAGATGCTAGTTATCCTAGGCAAACACCGCTGCTTTCACGCATGTACGGTCATTAGTATAACATCAGTCTCATCATAAGTTGCTGCCTTTAATCTTTTCTCAAAGGAACATGTGTTACAGCCGATATATCTTGGTCGAATCATCACGATAGGCAAGCTCGACCACCACGTTAACCTATATGGGCTTTTTAATCTCATTACTCCAGTCCAAATTGGAAAGAGATATATTGTGAAATGTATTTTAAAGCCAAAAGCTCCTCCCGCCATTTGTTTGATTATGTTGCGCTCACTGTCTGTTATTATCTTCACAATTTTAGGGGCCGATATCGAAGCTGCAGAAACGTGGGGAGTTGAGCCAACAATGCCTGTCGGATCATTAGGCGATATGGGGATAGCCGCTGCTGGTTACGGTCCTGTTGGTGGGACAGCAGGTGGTTGGAGTAATTTAGATGCCGATCCAACAGAAACATGGTAGTTAAGCAATATAACTTATGGAAAAGTACTTCTTGTTTTCTATACGGATTACCTTGTCATTAAATTTGTAAGCTTGTGTAGTGTGCTACTTCAGATTCATAGGTTTTGGTACGAATTTAGTCTCTTGTCAATTGGCCCGGTAGGTCAGGTAGACTGTGAGCAAATTTCTACATTTATGTTGCCGTTTTTCAAATATTCGTTTCTCAGGGGCAGGTAATAAACTCATTTATGGGAATTGCAACTTACGACAACTTAGGTTTCCTACCGTCACTTGAACGATTGGGATTCACACATCCCAATATACTAAAATTCTATAATGAACATTTTGATAAGGATTCTATTCCTACTGAAAGTAATATTCATATATAGTTAAATAAAGTGCCAATTAATTAAAAACTACCTAGTTTTTTTCAGTGGATCGAGTTGCATGAGTAAAAATGTTCAGTATTCTAGGTGTGAGTTAATCGCCTATATCTTGTTCGCTTATCAGATATAATATCCTGTCTTAATGTTTGACACTAAATACTGTTTCATGCCACACTGACTGGAATGTGTTATAATTGTGCTGAGTGTTAATTTGCACTGTTTAGTGGGGGAGTGCATTGAATCCAGTAAACATTTCTGTGCTTGGTGAAAACTTGTAAATGAAATACAAACATATACCGGGAAATCATTATTATTGGAAAACCTTATGCGCCTAAACAGTATCAGATGAGATTCAATCATTGATTCGTTATTTTATAATTGGATATCAAATTTTGCGTCTGAACAAGTGTGGCTGGCTGTGTAAGAGATGGTTATGTTGCTATAACGTGCACAAACAATATTATAGGTAACGACAATACCTGTATGATTAAGTTTTATTTATATTCATTACTTCACAGCATTTGTTGGGTAAAGTAGAACTTTTGGGAATGTAAAATCACCTTCAGATTACACTAAATAGAATATTATTTAAATTTCATTATTTTCTCCACCTAATTTCAACAATACGCTCAATTCCTACCTGATCTATTGTTCTGAGTAAAAAGACGAAGATGGACTTTTAAAACTAACAACTAAACAGTTTGTTCCGGTCTAACATCACTGGTGACAACTCACCCATGACAATTTTCGAGAAGGCAGCAGTGTAAGAGGTTATCTAGCGTGAAAGTCTTGAGGTTTAATTTGTGTGGATAGGAGTAATATATAGCCTGATACTAATTAATTTCCAAATATCAGTACATTTATCTCACTGGTTTTTGAACTTAACGTCGTCAACAAAAAAGCAGACCAACTTTGAACTATATCTAAGTACTTAAATAAGAAGCAAGATAATACGTCATACAGAACCTTATTGCTAAAAAACAAGGAAAAGTAGTCATTTCGACATAACATATCCTTGTGCATTTTGCTCGTTCTTGTATCGTAATTTGTTTTTACTGTCTAGTTATGTGTGGTTTTTCATGAAAAGCTAAATGCACAAACTGCTCATGTTACTGATAATCGACAGACAACTTTTAAATGTATATATAAATATTCACCTAAATGATGTGAATAAGTTCGTAGTTGATTGGAAGTTGTTACTTAACGTAAAATATGAAGGGATTGTTTAAGTGTATCCATTTGCAATTTTAGATAAGTGAAACCCAGAACATATTTAGTGATGTTACTACATTCAACGATTCATTCTTGTAGTTCGATTTATGAGTCAATTGAAGCTGGACCACCATGGGAAACCTGAATGCACTGGACGGCATTTTCGTCATAGTTTGGGACTCGGCAGTGCTCATCCACGATCCCGCGAGACCTGTCACTTCGACGTTAACACCATTGGATGCCGGCTCAGTGATCTAGAGTTTAAGCATTCGCGCGCGAGACAGGTCCTGGTTTACAATCTCACGGGGCGGGATCGTGAATGCACATTGCCGAGGAGTTCCATGCTAGGACGAAACCGTAGTCTAGTGCTTCCAGGTTTTCCATGGTCGTCTAGCTTCAATGGACTTGTGGATTTAACTGTTAAATTACTAAAATCTCCACAAAACTCCTGATAAGGTTCTTTCTTAAACATATGAGGAAGTAATGGTGTTTGATCACATTTATTTTGATGGTTACTTCTTTAATCGACAAAGATCAGTGTTTACTACTTGTAAATTATTTTAAATGTCTTTGTAATATCCACCTTTTTAATATCTATTGAATGTCTAGTCTTAGCACTAGAATATGCTTTACCTCCAAAATCAACTTTCAGGGAATTTGTTCTGAAAACTTCACTCTTATGTTCTTGTTTACCCGAGTACACGTAAATTAATGATTATATTTGAAGGTAACTTCAAGAGTATTGAATAGTAAGAAACATCTGAAAATAGATGAACTGTAGGAAAGCTTAGTTTTAGCTGTTGTAATCCTTTTATCAGTTCCACCTGAAACCTCTCCTTTGAATTCAAGACTGGGAAAGAAGTTTTTAGCTAATTGACTAAATTAATGAGAATCGATTCTACAATCAAATGTTTCCGTTAGTAATTTTAGTTGTGAATCTCAGTTTTATGTAGTTATTCTTAAGGTTTTATTATGCATAGTCACAAGCAAATATATCAAAATTAGTAAATTTGATGGTTTGTAAGTCAAGCATATAAATAGTGAAAGATTAAAATTTGGTAATATTGCTTGTCAATGAAGTTGACATCACAAGGCAAGTATTCACTTCAACATCCGAAATAGATAAATTTCGAAAGAAAATCGAAAGTTTTGTAATTTGTACTTTTTCGATCAACTTAAACTACAGTTTATCTAACCTGGTGATTAAATATTCAGCTGAACTGTGTCGAAGGTCACTTTTCAAGTGATTACCATCAGGAGGCGCAATAAAATTGGTGCGAGCTAATTTTGAATGCACATGAATACGGTATCCCCCTCAGATCCCATTAGCTACAATCATTTGTAATTCAAAATCCAATAACAGCAACCGACGATATTCAGCAACGACTTTGTCCTATACTCTAGTGTTCCCATCCATATGTCAACAGATTGTGAAACTATTCCGATAAATCTTCCATAAGACATATTTTGTAAACTTCGTATATCTTGTAATGGCTTTAAAGCCAAAATAATGTATGTATTGACTTCCAACAAGCTAAGTGAAAATTACTTATCTTTGAAAAACTACTTTGCAGTCAAAATGAATAATCGATGATTGAGTTTAGTCAACTAAATCAAATCCATTTATAATCTTAAAAAAGGTCTAAATGTTGGCCAAATTTCAACGCAGTCGACCTTAGAAGTTTCATAGAGTCGATAGATTTCTGTAGCTCATAAATCTTCATTTTCTATAATACAACCTGAGAGGGGATGTCAAGAAATAAAATAAGATGCTTGTTAGTCATCGAAAATTTGCCAACAAATTGGGAACTATTTTCACAATCATTGGTTAACTATTAGGCACCACGATATTTTTAGACCAGATTTTTGCTCATTAAAAAGATGAATCCGAGTGATGTAATGTGGAAGTTTAGGACTATCAGAGTCAAGTGAATATAATAGAACTTTTTAAATTGCTTTTTAGATAACATTGACGCAAACTGATTCTGTAAATCAATGGAGTGATAACCTTCCAGGATAAAGGTCATTTATATTACTACAGCCAATTAATTGATTCTCATTCTTTACAAATGCTTTTTATCCCCACATCTTTATTTAAGTTGTTTAGGTCTTCGTAAATTAGCTAATGAGAGCTTTACGATTTAACGAGTTTGAATTAGCCTATAAATCGAGTGGTTATCCTGTTTTTCTGGTTGTTGATCTTAAGAAAAGCTTAAGGCATTTATCTCTGTTATAATCATCATTACAGTTGCTAGATATTCAAGGTGATAGTAGTTTATTTAAACAGGATCTCAAGTATGTACAATAATCACAGTATTAAGAGGATATGTAATCTCTTCGTATGTTTAGAAGAGGTTGGTAGATTCGTTTATACCTCACTGAAGATAAGACTCCTAGAAATGCTACTACTAAAGTTCTGTTCGTACTCCAAAAAAGATTTTATTGATCTATAGGGGATATCTGCTTGTCTATGAATTTTATAGTCCTATTATCCTGTCCCTCTACGAGTCATAACAAACATACAGAAAGGTTTTAGGTCAGGCTATTGCTGTCAATCTGACAATAACATCTACTTATCGATTGTTTGGTATGACTGGCGCATTAAAATTCTCAGTAAGGTGCGATAAAGAAAGTTGTGTATTGCATAAAGCATTGTAGTGATCGTTTTAAGAACTAGAATTTACTGGATGAATATTAATGTTTACGCGAGCCATGTTTAAGAAAATCGTCAACATCATCCGAAGTTCATACTACGGACGAAAGTGCAGATGCATTCCAAGTGAGGACAAGAGTCAGACAAGGTTGCTTACTCCTACCCTTCTTCTTTATTCTGGTGGTCAATTGGGTTATGAAGATGTCGATGTCTGAGGGGAAAAAGGGAATACAATGGACAGTCCGGAATCAACTAGACAATTTAGACTTCGCAAATGACCTGGCTCTTCTGTCCCATACACACCAACAAATGCAGATGAAGACAACTAGTGTAGCAGAAGCCTCTATGTCAGTGGGCCACGACATACACAAGGGAAGAGCAAGATCCTCAAATACAACACAGAGAACATTAAGCCAATCACATTTGATGGAAAAACTCTGGGACAGGTGAGAACTTCCACATACCTGGTCAGTATCATCGATGAACAAGAAGGATCTGATGCGAATGTAATGGTATTGATTGATAAAGTGAGGGTAGTATTCATACAGTCAGAGAACATATGGAACTCAAAACAACTGTTTGTGAGCCAACATCGAAGTCAAAATCTTCAATACGAACGTCAAGATAATTATACCACTCGCGACTGAAACTTGAACAACTACAACCATCATCAAAAATGTACATGCATTTATAAACAATTGTCTACGTAAAATACTCAATGTTAGTTGACTGGATACCATGAGTAACAGCCTATTGTGGGATAGGACAAACCAACTTTCAGCTTGAGAGGAAATTAGGAAAAGACATTGTAAGTGGATTGGATATACATTACGGAAATCAAGCTACACGAAGAAAGCATCAACTTGGAATCCTATGGGGAACGGAAAAGAATAAGACCAAAGAGCAAGCTAAGTCGAGATTTGGAAGCACAGATATGAAAAGGATGAATAGCAACTGGAAACAACTGTATAGGATTACCTAGCCTATGCATCACCGCGAGGGGTAATAGGTGTAAGTAAGCCATTTAAAGACACTTCGGACTCTCCAGGCGAATCGTCCTACAACAAGATAAATAAACCTTTGTATTAAGTACAGCATAAATGGTAGCCGTTATGATGACTTGCTTGATAAATTAATGGTACGAGTTAAAATCCGTGAATTGTTAGTTTGCTGATGCAGTTGATCCTCGAGACCTAAATTCACTGGAGTAAAGAAAAAAACAGCGTCACGAACTGATTAATTATGTGAATGTTAACTGAAATACTGGAGGTATTACGCATACATAAAATACTCATTATCGAATGGAGTCTATACGTGTTGTTGAATTTTGTATTTTTCTTCATCCGTTCACGTTTCCATACCCCATAAGTACTGAGAGGTCAAACTGTCAAGGCAAATTCCAGATTAGTAGAGGTAGTAACAGAATTAGTGGTAACAGGGAAGATTAGGTATCGGAAAATTCGATTCAAGAGAATGTAAATTATTGGAATAAAAGAAATAAAATTATTAGGAAATCAGCAGTTTAGAAGAAAGAAAATATTCAGTCAACATGTCTGTGCCTTTGCGAAAGATTTTGGGCCATGTCATTCAATGTCTAGCCGCTAGTTTCCATAATCAAAAGAACCCCAAACATGTAGTTTAAACCTGTTAATATACCTCAGTTCCATCGTCAGTAACTCTATGGACTGGTGTCATTTTTAGGTACTTCCGCTCTTAGCTTCGTGTAAGTTCCTACATTAGGAACTAAACTCCGTCAAACAATCGTTGAAAACCATTAAGCAATTGAAAATTACTTCATTCTATTATGGAACTCTCAAGAGATGTGCATCTATGACCCCATTGGCGGTCGAATCAATGATCTTCAGGCCTCGTAGTAAGCGCCTAAGTGTTAGATTAGTGAGTCCGGTGACTTGCTTCTCTAAATTCAATCTTTCAGCCATATTCCAATGGCATTGATGAGTAAACTTTCTGCCAACCAACATAGTTATAATGAAAAAAAGTGTGACTGAGTTTTCTCATCAGTTAACAAATGAATGACAAAGAATAAAAATGAAGTTCAGAACATATAGACGCTTATTCACTGCGGTTAGTCCTAACAGTACCTACAGTCAATAAGAAAAGCACATTCGTTTGGTATAAAAAACGTTGAACGCTACGGGTACGAAGT